GTAAAGTGGTTTGAATTAAAGAGAAAGAAAAGTATGTTTTGTTTTGTTTTTTTTCTTCAAGATCTGTTCACATGTACTTAGCAAGAGTGAGTACACAGCGTTAAAAAATGGTACTTAGTGTAGTGAGGAAGGCGAAAGCAAGAGAGCATATGAAGGTAATATTGAAGTAGGCGCAGTTTTGAAGTGGTGAAAGGCAAAGGCATGAGTGCAAGCGTAATAAAAGGTAATAGGAGAGATGTAGAGCAGGCGGAGGACTTGGCTGGAGCAGGAAAAGGCAAAAGGGGAAACGCGAATGCGCATCCCCGCCCCCAAGCTAGGGCCGTGGCAGCGAGATCGTGGGGGTTCGAACTGGCGGCGCTCTGTACCAGAGTGCTCTGCCACACATCATACGCCAACGGCCAGCCGAGAGAATGGTTAAAAAAAAGGACATTTATCATTTCTTCTCCAGCCAGCCAGCCCTTCTCATGGTTTTTACAAAGTACACAGCACAGCAGATTCTGCAATATTCTTACAACTAATTAAGCATTGGAAACCTACCTACCTACTTCTGTCTTCATTCTAAACAATTACACTTTCTGGAAAGTGCTTTCAATAAAACACAAAACAAAACCATCTTTTCTTTGCTTTTTTTTTATTCACATCTCTTCACGGTGTAGTGAGGAAGGCCAAAAACAAAGAGAGCCTATCAAGGTAATATTCAAGTAGGCGCACTTTTGAAGTGGTGAAAGGCAAAGGCATGAGTGCAAGCCTAATAAAAGCTAATAGGAGAGATGTAGAGCCGGCAGAGGACTTGGCAAGAGCAGGAAAAAGCAAAAGGAAAGGCGAGTGCACGTCTCCCCGCCCCCAAGCCAGGCCGAGAGAAGGCTGAAAAAAAGGACATTTATCATTTCTTCTTCAGCCAGCTGTTTTTCTCATGGTTTTTCGCTCTGTACCAGAGTGCTCTGCCACACATCATACGCCAAACGGCCGGCGGAGAGAATGGTTAAAAAAAGGACATTTATCATTTCTTCTCCAGCCAGCCAGCCAGCCCTTCTCATGGTTTTTCCAAAGTACACAGCACTGCAGATTCTGCAATATTCTTACACACTAATTAAGCATTGGAAACCTACCTACTTCTTTGTTCATTGTAAACAATTGTACTTTCTGTAAAGTGGTTTGAATTAAAGAGAAAAGAAAAGTATGTTTTGTTTTGTTTTTTTTCTTCAAGATCTGTTCACATGTACTTAGCAAGAGTGAGTACACAGCGTTAAAAAATGGTACTTAGTGTAGTGAGGAAGGCGAAAAGCAAAGAGAGCATATGAAGGTAATATTGAAGTAGGCGCAGTTTTGAAGTGGTGAAAGGCAAAGGCATGAGTGCAAGCGTAATAAAAGGTAATAGGAGAGATGTCGAGCAGGCGGAGGACTTGGCTGGAAAAGGCAAAAGGGGAAACGCGAATGCGCATCCCCGCCCCCCAAGCTAGGGCCGTGGCAGCGAGATCGTGGGGGTTCGAACTGGCGGCGCTCTGTACCAGAGTGCTCTGCCACACATCATACGCCAAACGGCCAGCCGAGAGAACGGTTAAAAAAAAGGACATTTATCATTTCTTCTCCAGCCAGCCAGCCAGCCAGCCAGCCCTTCTCATGGTTTTTACAAAGTACACAGCACAGCAGATTCTGCAATATTCTTACACACTAATTAAGCATTGGAAACCTACCTACCTACTTCTGTCTTCATTCTAAACAATTACACTTTCTGGAAAGTGCTTTCAATAAAACAAAACAAAACCATCTTTTCTTTGCTTTTTTTTATTCAACATCTCTTCACGGTGTAGTGAGGAAGGCCAAAAACAAAGAGAGCCTATCAAGGTAATATTCAAGTAGGCGCACTTTTGAAGTGGTGAAAGGCAAAGGCATGAGTGCAAGCGTAATAAAAGGTAATAGGAGAGAGAGCCGGCAGAGCACTTGGCAAGAGCAGGAAAAAGCAAAAAGGAAAGGCGAGTGCACGTCTCCCCGCCCCCAAGCCAGGCCGAGAGAAGGCTTGAAAAAAAAGGACATTTATCATTTCTTCTTCAGCCAGCTGTTTTTCTCATGGTTTTTCGCTCTGTACCAGAGTGCTCTGCCACACATCATACGCCAAACGGCCGGCCGAGAGAATGGTTAAAAAAAAGGACATTTATCATTTCTTCTCCAGCCAGCCAGCCAGCCAGCCAGCTGTTTTTCTCATGGTTTTTCCAAAGTACACAGCACAGCAGATTCTGCAATATTCTTACACACTAATTAAGCATTGGAAACCTACCTACTTCTTTGTTCATTGTAAACAATTGTACTTTCTGTAAAGTGGTTTGAATTAAAGAGAAAAGAAAAGTATGTTTTGTTTTGTTTTTTTTCTTCAAGATCTGTTCACATGTACTTAGCAAGAGTGAGTACACAGCGTTAAAAAATGGTACTTAGTGTAGTGAGGAAGGCGAAAAGCAAAGAGAGCATATGAAGGTAATATTGAAGTAGGCGCAGTTTTGAAGTGGTGAAAGGCAAAGGCATGAGTGCAAGCGTAATAAAAGGTAATAGGAGAGATGTCGAGCAGGCGGAGGACTTGGCTGGAGCAGGAAAAGGCAAAAGGGGAAACGCGAATGCGCATCCCCGCCCCCCAAGCTAGGGCCGTGGCAGCGAGATCGTGGGGGTTCGAACTGGCGGCGCTCTGTACCAGAGTGCTCTGCCACACATCATACGCCAAACGGCCAGCCGAGAGAATGGTTAAAAAAAAGGACATTTATCATTTCTTCTCCAGCCAGCCAGCCAGCCAGCCAGCTGTTTTTCTCATGGTTTTTCCAAAGTACACAGCACAGCAGATTCTGCAATATTCTTACACACTAATTAAGCATTGGAAACCTACCTACTTCTTTGTTCATTGTAAACAATTGTACTTTCTGTAAAGTGGTTTGAATTAAAGAGAAAAGAAAAGTATGTTTTGTTTTGTTTTTTTCTTCAAGATCTGTTCACATGTACTTAGCAAGAGTGAGTACACAGCGTTAAAAATGGTACTTAGTGTAGTGAGGAAGGCGAAAAGCAAAGAGAGCATATGAAGGTAATATTGAAGTAGGCGCAGTTTTGAAGTGGTGAAAGGCAAAGGCATGAGTGCAAGCGTAATAAAAGGTAATAGGAGAGATGTAGAGCAGGCGGAGGACTTGGCTGGAGCAGGAAAAGGCAAAAGGGAAACGCGAATGCGCATCCCCGCCCCCCAAGCTAGGGCCGTGGCAGCGAGATCGTGGGGGTTCGAACTGGCGGCGCTCTGTACCAGAGTGCTCTGCCACACATCATACGCCAAACGGCCAGCCGAGAGAATGGTTAAAAAAAGGACATTTATCATTTCTTCTCCAGCCAGCCAGCCCTTCTCATGGTTTTTACAAAGTACACAGCACAGCAGATTCTGCAATATTCTTACACACTAATTAAGCATTGGAAACCTACCTACCTACTTCTGTCTTCATTCTAAACAATTACACTTTCTGGAAAGTGCTTTCAATAAAACAAAAACAAAACCATCTTTTCTTTGCTTTTTTTTTATTCAACATCTCTTCACGGTGTAGTGAGGAAGGCCAAAAACAAAGAGAGCCTATCAAGGTAATATTCAAGTAGGCGCACTTTTGAAGTGGTGAAAGGCAAAGGCATGAGTGCAAGCCTAATAAAAGCTAATAGGAGAGATGTAGAGCCGGCAGAGGACTTGGCAAGAGCAGGAAAAAGCAAAAAGGAAAGGCGAGTGCACGTCTCCCGCCCCCAAGCCAGGCCGAGAGAAGGCTTGAAAAAAAAGGACATTTATCATTTCTTCTTCAGCCAGCTGTTTTTCTCATGGTTTTTCGCTCTGTACCAGAGTGCTCTGCCACACATCATACGCCAAACGGCCGGCGGAGAGAATGGTTAAAAAAAGGACATTTATCATTTCTTCTCCAGCCAGCCAGCCAGCCCTTCTCATGGTTTTTCCAAAGTACACAGCACAGCAGATTCTGCAATATTCTTACACACTAATTAAGCATTGGAAACCTACCTACTTCTTTGTTCATTGTAAACAATTGTACTTTCTGTAAAGTGGTTTGAATTAAAGAGAAAAGAAAAGTATGTTTTGTTTTCTTTTTTTTCTTCAAGATCTGTTCACATGTACTTAGCAAGAGTGAGTACACAGCGTTAAAAAATGGTACTTAGTGTAGTGAGGAAGGCGAAAAGCAAAGAGAGCATATGAAGGTAATATTGAAGTAGGCGCAGTTTTGAAGTGGTGAAAGGCAAAGGCATGAGTGCAAGCGTAATAAAAGGTAATAGGAGAGATGTCGAGCAGGCGGAGGACTTGGCTGGAAAAGGCAAAAGGGGAAACGCGAATGCGCATCCCCGCCCCCAAGCTAGGGCCGTGGCAGCGAGATCGTGGGGGTTCGAACTGGCGGCGCTCTGTACCAGAGTGCTCTGCCACACATCATACGCCAAACGGCCAGCCGAGAGAACGGTTAAAAAAAAGGACATTTATCATTTCTTCTCCAGCCAGCCAGCCAGCCAGCCAGCCCTTCTCATGGTTTTTACAAAGTACACAGCACAGCAGATTCTGCAATATTCTTACACACTAATTAAGCATTGGAAACCTACCTACCTACTTCTGTCTTCATTCTAAACAATTACACTTTCTGGAAAGTGCTTTCAATAAAACACAAAACAAAACCATCTTTTCTTTGCTTTTTTTTATTCAACATCTCTTCACGGTGTAGTGAGGAAGGCCAAAAACAAAGAGAGCCTATCAAGGTAATATTCAAGTAGGCGCACTTTTGAAGTGGTGAAAGGCAAAGGCATGAGTGCAAGCCTAATAAAAGCTAATAGGAGAGATGTACACTGAAAAAAGTCTAACATGCAGTCATTCATTCAATCTAATAAGTGCCATTCAAAAACAGAATAAAATCATTGATTTGATTGTGAAACCCTTTCTTTTTGCATTTAAAATACCACTTTTGATTTGGATGAAACTAAATATCTGTACAAAGGACACAACGCAAAGTTTTTGATTTCTCTCAAAACATATATTTCTTTTCATGTTGAACAGATAATATCTTTAATTTGAGTCAAAGTGATTTGCACTTGAACACGCCCACCAGAAATAGACCGGGACCCATTTTTATTCTGCATGGCTGCTGGAAACATCGTGTCACATCTTTGATTAATTTCATCTGAAAATAAACGTAAGTAAAGCCAAGTGTGTTACAAAAGCTTTTATAATTTGTATTGCCAAAATTGCAGAAAATAACCCCATTTAAGCTGGGTCGACAGCCACCCCTAATTTTTGCATGATTGTAGCTGCTAGCTATAAGCTAGCTAGCTATCCTGCGCAACGTTAGAACTGGTTACCAGAAACCGACCATCACAGTCGGGAATGCAAGTTAGGCAAAAAGCCGTTTTTTACCAGTATACTAACTAGCTAGCGTTACCACGATGCATCGGTGGTGGATACAGCTAGCTAGCATAAGTTCATAGTTCATAACATTCATAGTATAACTCCGTGCTCCGCTTCGTTTGAATTTTTCTGGTGAGCTCGCGGTTTCTAGACACAAGCTTGTGTTTGTGCGCGCACGTTTGTCTCTCTTCATATAAATATCTGTGTGTTATGTGTGTGTACACCGAGCGCAAAAGATAATTATTAATGTGCATGATTTAGAGACAGAAATAACACGCCAGCATATAAGATCAATGACATAAGACTAATTCCTTCAATTGACTTTCAGGCGCGGCTCGGAAAAATGTGCATTTTCTGAAGAAATTGTAATTTTAACAGCAAAAATTGACCCTATGCCAAACTTAGTCGCTAATGGCTGGTCTGTAGACTGTTTGGTATGTCATGTTACGTATTTCTTGGTTTTTCTATGTAATGTGTTTTATAGAGAAGTAACATTATTCTTTTTTTTCTGTATGCTTTCAGAACCACAGATCGCTCCATCCATTCCATGGCTGAAGCATACATTTTCATTTAATCTGAACAGGTATCATTTTGCATTTACACTGCACATCCTTTTTAAACATTTCATAATAATCTAGACTCTCCCTCATTATCCTCTCATTCACCTTGCTGATGTGTTGAGGACTTGATAAAGAATACATGGTATGTCCATATCTGTTCTGTCTCTACATGAGATGCAGTCTCTTGATGTAAATTTGACAACTCTGCTATTAAATGCAGTGATTAATGTAGGACAGCAACGATTAATCAACTCATCAAGTTAATATCTTAGGGTTCTGTATTGTTTTCTTTTTTTTTTCTTGGGCTTTGTGGAACATTTATGAAAATGTTCCACCATTGATTTAATTTAATGATTATGCAATTCACAAATCTGATTAGTCAAATAATTGTTCTAATAGTCTGTGACCAAACAACTATCAAAATAGTAGTTTATTATGGTCAAAGATTTATCAGGTGTGCCAGACTTCAGTTCTTCACTTGTACATTTTGTTCCATATTTTACCTCAAGATATCCCAGAAAGATGAAGCTGAGGAAGAGCTGCAGAGTACCACCATGCTACTCTTCGTCTTCAGGGACAACTCAAGCCTCCTACATCAGCCTCGAGACATCGGGATAATCATTGATGGTGTGGAAGTCCTGAATGAGTTGCCTTCTGTGGCAGCTGGAGTGGCAATGGTCTTTGGACTCTGTTATGCTCTTAATATGGAATATCCACGAGGATTCAGGTTCACCTTTGAGGCTCTTCAAAAGATTATGATGGAGCTTGACTTTAACAAGATGACCTCTAAGATTCGCAAACTTAATTGTGAACTTAACACTGCACAGTAGTGTGTTTGCATGCATGTGTGCATGTGTATGTGCACATGCATGTGCATGTGTGCTTGGTTGGCCTGCCAGTGGTATTCTACATTCAAAATTTATAAGAACACCCATTTGAAGGGGAGATTTAAGTTGATTTCATTGATACATGTGTAGATTTTTTTTTTTTTTACATTGTACACGCTCAGTGCACATATAAACATTTTGAGTACTTGCAAATTGGTTTAAAAAGAGTTTTTATAATGGTTTTATGCCAGTTTTAGACAGGTTGCAGATTTTATACTGGTTTTCAAAAGATTGCAGGTTTTATACTGGTTTTCAAAAGATTGCAGGTTTATAAAACAAACATTTCTCTAATCATTTCTGCCGTAGCACTAAATCTGTATATTACTAATATAATTAATATTAGTAATATACGCCTCAACATACGCTCATCATATTCTGTGATTATAGTTCAAATGGTTTGGAACAATAAATAATTTTGAATAATTGGTTGGCCAACTGTCTTGTTTTTTATAGGAAATGCAGAGCATGTTTTGAACTGAAATAAATGAAATGTAAAAAATATAGTTTGAATATATGTAAATCAATTACCTGGCTTCAACACAAACATATTAGTTCATGTAATTGGTTCGATGTGAATACATTAGGTTGGTTAAATTTCAATATATTAGCTTGGTTCAATAATTAAAATATGGTTCTATGTAAAAAAAATCAATTTGGATCAATGCAAAATTTAAGTTTCAGTCAGTCTAGTAATATTGTTTATATCAACATAAAAGTATCAGGTCATATCAAGTGACTCAATTTGGATTCTATAAAGCCAAATATTTTGGATGTGACAACTGGACATTTTTTTTTTATTTGAATAGGGTTATTCTTTTTACAGTGTAGAGCGGCAGAGGACTTGCAAGAGCAGGAAAAAGCAAAAAGGGAAAGGCGAGTGCACGTCTCCCCGCCCCCCAAGCCAGGCCGAGAGAAGGCTTGAAAAAAAGACATTTATCATTTCTTCTCAGCCAGCTGTTTTTCTCATGGTTTTTCGCTCTGTACCAGAGTGCTCTGCCACACATCATACGCCAAACGGCCGGCCGAGAGAATGGTTAAAAAAAAGGACATTTATCATTTCTTCTCCAGCCAGCCAGCCAGCCAGCCCTTCTCATGGTTTTTCCAAAGTACACAGCACAGCAGATTCTGCAATATTCTTACACACTAATTAAGCATGGAAACCTACCTACTTCTTTGTCATTGTAAACAATTGTACTTTCTGTAAAGTGGTTTGAATTAAAGAGAAAAGAAAAGTATGTTTTGTTTTGTTTTTTTTCTTCAAGATCTGTTCACATGTACTTAGCAAGAGTGAGTACACAGCGTTAAAAATGGTACTTAGTGTAGTGAGGAAGGCGAAAAGCAAAGAGAGCATATGAAGGTAATATTGAAGTAGGCGCAGTTTTGAAGTGTGAAAGGCAAGGCATGAGTGCAAGCGTAATAAAAGGTAATAGGAGAGATGTCGAGCAGGCGGAGGACTTGGCTGGAGCAGGAAAAGGCAAAAGGGGAAACGCGAATGCGCATCCCGCCCCAAGCTAGGGCCATGGCAGCGAGATCGTGGGGGTTCGAATGGCGGCGCTCTGTACCAGAGTGCTCTGCCACACATCATACGCAAACGGCCAGCCGAGAGAACGGTTAAAAAAAAGGACATTTATCATTTCTTCTCCAGCCAGCCAGCCAGCCAGCCAGCCCTTCTCATGGTTTTTACAAAGTACACAGCACAGCAGATCTGCAATATTCTTACACACTAATTAAGCATTGGAAAACCTACCTACCTACTTCTGTCTTCATTCTAAACAATTACACTTTCTGGAAAGTGCTTTCAATAAAACACAAAACAAAACCATCTTTTCTTTGCTTTTTTTATTCAACATCTCTTCACGGTGTAGTGAGGAAGGCCAAAAACAAAGAGAGCTATCAAGGTAATATTCAAGTAGGCGCACTTTTGAAGTGGTGAAAGGCAAAGGCATGAGTGCAAGCCTAATAAAAGCTAATAGGAGAGATGTAGAGCCGGCAGAGGACTTGGCAAGAGCAGGAAAAAGCAAAAGGAAAGGCGAGTGCACGTCTCCCCGCCCCCAGCCAGGCCGAGAGAAGGCTTGAAAAAAAGGACATTTATCATTTCTTCTTCAGCCAGCTGTTTTTCTCATGGTTTTTCGCTCTGTACCAGAGTGCTCTGCCACACATCATACGCCAAACGGCCGGCCGAAGAAATGGTTAAAAAAAGGACATTTATCATTTCTTTCTCCAGCCAGCCAGCCAGCCAGCCAGCTGTTTTTCTCATGGTTTTTTCCAAAGTACACAGCACAGCAGATTCTGCAATATTCTTACACACTAATTAAGCATTGGAACCTACCTACTCTTTGTCATTGTAAACAATTGTACTTTCTGTAAAGTGGTTTGAATTAAAGAGAAAGAAAAGTATGTTTTGTTTTTTTTTTTCTTCAAGATCTGTTCACATGTACTTAGCAAGAGTGAGTACACCAGCGTTAAAAAATGGTACTTAGTGTAGTGAGGAAGGCGAAAGCAAAGAGAGCATATGAAGGTAATATTGAAGTAGGCGCAGTTTTGAAGTGGTGAAAGGCAAAGGCATGAGTGCAAGCGTAATAAAAGGTAATAGGAGAGATGTCGAGCAGGCGGAGGACTTGGCTGGAGCAGGAAAAGGCAAAAGGGAAACGCGAATGCGCATCCCCGCCCCCCAAGCTAGGGCCGTGGCAGCGAGATCGTGGGGGTTCGAACTGGCGGCGCTCTGTACCAGAGTGCTCTGCCACACATCATACGCCAAACGGCCAGCCGAGAGAATGGTTTAAAAAAAAGGACATTTATCATTTCTTCTCCAGCCAGCCAGCCAGCAGCCAGCTGTTTTTCTCATGGTTTTTCCAAAGTACACAGCACAGCAGATTCTGCAATATTCTTACACACTAAATTAAGCATTGGAAACCTACCTACTTCTTTGTTCATGTAAACAATTGTACTTTCTGTAAAGTGTTTGAATTAAAGAGAAAAGAAAAGTATGTTTTGTTTTGTTTTTTTTTCTTCAAGATCTGTTCACATGTACTTAGCAAGAGTGAGTACACAGCGTTAAAAAATGGTACTTAGTGTAGTGAGGAAGGCGAAAAGCAAAGAGAGCATATGAAGGTAATATTGAAGTAGGCGCAGTTTTGAAGTGGTGAAAGCAAAGGCATGAGTGCAAGCGTAATAAAAGGTAATAGGAGAGATGTCGAGCAGGCGGAGGACTTGGCTGGAGCAGGAAAGGCAAAAGGGGAAACGCGAATGCGCATCCCCGCCCCCAAGCTAGGGCCGTGGCAGCGAGATCGTGGGGGTTCGAACTGGCGGCGCTCTGTACCAGAGTGCTCTGCCACACATCATACGCCAAACGGCCAGCCCGAGAGAATGGTTAAAAAAAAGACATTTATCATTTCTTCTCCAGCCAGCCAGCCCTTCTCATGGTTTTTACAAAGTACACAGCACAGCAGATTCTGCAATATTCTTACACACTAATTAAGCATTGGAAACCTACCTACCTACTTCTGTCTTCATTCTAAACAATTACACTTTCTGGAAAGTGCTTTCAATAAAACACAACAAAACCATCTTTTCTTTGCTTTTTTTTATTCAACATCTCTTCACGGTGTAGTGAGGAAGGCAAAAACAAAGAGAGCCTATCAAGGTAATATTCAAGTAGGCGCACTTTTGAAGTGGTGAAAGGCAAAGGCATGAGTGCAAGCCTAATAAAAGCTAATAGGAGAGATGTAGAGCCGGCAGAGGACTTGGCAAGAGCAGGAAAAGCAAAAAAAAGGCGAGTGCACGTCCCCGCCCCCAAGCAGGCCGAGAGAAGGCTTGAAAAAAAAGGACATTTATCATTTCTTCTTCAGCCAGCTGTTTTTCTCATGGTTTTTCGCTCTGTACCAGAGTGCTCTGCACACATCATACGCCAAACGGCCGGCGGAGAGAATGGTTAAAAAAAGGACATTTATCATTTCTTCTCCAGCCAGCCAGCCAGCCTTCTCATGGTTTTTCCAAAGTACACAGCACAGCAGATTCTGCAATATTCTTACACACTAATTAAGCATTGGAAACCTACCTACTTCTTTGTTCATTGTAAACAATTGTACTTTCTGTAAAGTGGTTTGAATTAAAGAGAAAAGAAAAGTATGTTTTGTTTTGTTTTTTTTCTTCAAGATCTGTTCACATGTACTTAGCAAGAGTGAGTACACAGCGTTAAAAAATGGTACTTAGTGTAGTGAGGAAGGCGAAAAGCAAAGAGAGCATATGAAGGTAATATTGAAGTAGGCGCAGTTTTGAAGTGGTGAAAGGCAAAGGCATGAGTGCAAGCGTAATAAAAGGTAATAGGAGAGATGTCGAGCAGGCGGAGGACTTGGCTGGAAAAGGCAAAAGGGGAAACGCGAATGCGCATCCCGCCCCCAAGCTAGGGCCGTGGCAGCGAGATCGTGGGGGTTCGAACTGGCGGCGCTCTGTACCAGAGTGCTCTGCCACACATCATACGCCAAACGGCCAGCCGAGAGAACGGTTAAAAAAAGGACATTTATCATTTCTTCTCCAGCCAGCCAGCCAGCCCAGCCCTTCTCATGGTTTTTACAAAGTACACAGCACAGCAGATTCTGCAATATTCTTACACACTAATTAAGCATTGGAAACCTACCTACCTACTTCTGTCTTCATTCTAAACAATTACA